CGGGGGAGTTGTTGCAGAGATTGATTGTTCTAAGCAATACTATACACAGAACACAGACATTTTGGGTGCCTGGAATATCTCTGCTTATAAATTGCTAATGACATTAAGGCAATGCCAGTCTCTATATGCAACGTTTTATGTGTATATATATATATATATATATACACAATGGTTTTATATATATATATATATATATATATACACAATGGTTTTATATATATATATATATACATATATATATATACATGTATATAGCAATTGCATGGTGTTTGGCTAGGAAAACTGCATGTGCCATATACTTCAAGGAGAAATATTACATGCCCAAAAGATCTGCACTGTCCACATACTGAAAAACGCCCATTGTGTCTGTTGCAAAGGCAAATGAGGATACCGCTTTGACTTAGACACAACATCAGACTTTTGAAATCTGCTTGAGCATTTGCAATTTGAATAATATTCTTCTAGATGAGTGGTTTTAGTTTCAGCCATAGCTGCTAAAATGTGTTTGCATGAAACTTGAAGTTGTGCCATTGTACAGAACAGAATTAAAGATTCATTTAGCCAGAGAGAACAAAACAAGAAAGAGGAATCTTCTTTGTATTATTTAAACAGTTAAACTTGTACTGCTATAGTTGACATATGTATTATGCATATTAAATATATAATACGCATACATGTTTTATAAGTATACATAGATGCATACGTATAATATATAAACATATTTAACATTTATTCATATATATGTATTAAATATATATATTTAAAAGATGCAGCAAAAACTCTAATGTCAGCCAGAAAAAAACGGCTGGTTAAGCTAGAAAAAGTGCTTGTTTTATGAAAAAGTAAAATTGCAATTCACAGCATTTTATGTAATGCTGTACAAATTACCAGATACCAGAGACTGCATTTCTGGACCTGAATAGTACTAAAAGTTGCAACTAAGGGCAAATATAAAGACACTTGTTTACAATGCAAAGGCTTAGTCAGTATTATAAGCAATATGGCAATCTGCATAGCAGAAGATATAATGCTTTGTAATGTGATTTTTACTTTACATATCAATTCCTATACACATGAACAAGCTCAACTACAGACCCATTAATCTCAATCATTATAAACAAAGCAGAAAAATACAGGAAATACACTGATTAATTAAGTGTGGATTAATGCATAGCTGATATATTTACACAGTTTTACATTTAACTTATTTGATGGGTGGTAGTGCTGTTTTATAAAGACATCACTAAAGCATTTCAGAATGTATTAGAGAGGCACTGGCAATCCTGTTGCTGAAGTTGTTGGTGACACTTCCATTCTTTTCAATTATGATTGTATCAAATAACATAATCTGAAATTATACATATTAGGTGTGTGAGTGACTTTGTGTGTGTTTGTGTGTGTGTGTATGTGACTGTGACAAACTCCAACTGGAACCTCTCAGTTTTATTGACAGAGCCTAGAGGAAAGCACCATATGCCTCCCTTCTGACAAATATGGGTACTCTTCCTAAAGATACAATGGAGGAGGGACTTGAAATCTGGAAGAGACAATGACAGATTGTGTCAAAGATGAGTATCTCATCTTCTGGTGAAATGTCACCCAAATTTATATACTTGTTTCATCTGAGCCCATTCTTCCACATGGGCTTTCCTAGTACTGTCTGCTTTCTATGAGGAAAGGCAGGTAGTATGTTCCTCACATTCATTCCCAGTTTCCTTCACTACGCACCTACAGTCAAGGGCATATGGAGAAGTGATGCTGAAGGCAAGAAAAAAAATGGCTGAAGTAAAAGGTTGCTTTTTTGTGGAAAAAAAAAAAAAAGAAAGAAAGAAATTAAAAAAAATAATGAACAAAGGGGGCAAAGGTCTGAGCATCAAAGAACTGATGCCCCACTGCCCCACTTCCAGCCTGGTACCATGGGTAGAAAACAATATAACAATGATAGTGAATTTCATTATTCTGCTGTCAGGCAGGGGCTAAGAAATCGCCTGGAAATTTTCTCTCTGTGATCTCCTATTCTGACTATTCTAGCAGCTCAAATGGCTAAGGCGGGTGAACTGAATTCAGCTCCAAATCCGGTCCACTCAGGTATAACCTGGCATATGTTCATTCCTTTGCTTCTCAGAAAAAAAAAAAAAAAAAGACTGCAAATAAATGGAGAAACACACCCACACAATTACATACCAGCCCTACACTCACTAATTCTTTAAAAACTGGCAGTGCTTCATGAAAAAAGTGGCAGAATCAATGTTCAAAAGTTGAAAAATTGGTCAAGCAGCTGCTCTGGGTGATGTGAGGCACCCACTGAGCTAGAGACAGGGACCCTGAGCAGGACCTTTCCCGGCTGTTCCTACTGCTCTGCAAGGGCAGAGTCTTTTGAGAAGGAGAAGAAAGAAAGTTTGATAGTTGGGCAACTTATTTGGATGTTATGCAGATGTCCTGATGTGATATGAAGCACCACTATATATCTCATAGCTGCCAGCCAGCTGACTCTGAAGTCATTGGAGCTCTGAACATGGAAGGTGTAGTATTGCTTAAATACCATGAAAAATGAAGTTCTAGATGTTCCAAGCAGGACATCCAAAATCACTAAAAACTTAATTTCACAGTGTTTTTTTCTGTGTTTGAAAATGTGGACAATACAAACTTCCTGCTCTAGTGTATTGTTGAGAAGATGAATGCACTTTTTTTTTTTTTTTTTTTTTTTTTTTAACACTAAAATGCTGCCAGGAGGAGTGGAATGGAAAATCCTATAAAGAAGCAAGGTTAAGCGATTTGCAGTAAATACAGCACAAGAGCTCACAGAGAGGACACCTTCATATAAGCATATGAAATGAGACCCAAAGACTGGGGTATAAAGTATAAAACGTACTATGTGAGCAAATCGTTAATTTTGTATTAGATTATTTTTGGAAAAGGTGTGTTACTTCTGGCATGTCTTAACTTTTGCAAATAAGGTTTTGTATTATTAATAATATTAGCTAAATATAGTTTTTATGGATGATAATATAACACATGGACAGAAAAGAGCAGATGGACTCCAAACAATCTTAATAATATATTACATCTATTTCTTCATGCTTACATGACTATCTAAAGAACTACAACTCTTCTGGTGCCATATAAATATTTAATAATGATAATTTAGAATATACTGATATAATATTACAACTGAATATTGTACATCCTTATTCCAATATGGAGTTGCTTTAGTTATGTGGCAGCTCTGTTGGATTCATTGAGCACGTTCATGAGAGTAAGCAATTAGTACTCAGCTTCATTAAGTTTATATTTCGATACTTTTCATGGTAGAGGAAAACACTATATTATCGGCAGAATTTAAATAATTGCTTAAAAGTTAACAGAATGCTTCGGTGCTTTTCTGACTAATGACAAATTTAAACATATGCACAAATGGCTTCATGCACTGAAGAGGTCAACAACCTTGTAATTTTTTTTTTTTTTTTTGGAAATAGAAACCTCAGAAAATGCCATAATGGACTTTTTCCTTTCCAAAATAATAAAAACAAAATAAAAATCTGGGTTTTGTTATATTTGCTTTTTCAAAACTAAGCTATATAGAGTTTTATATGAACAGTCCATGATATACTGAATAATGGCATGCAAATTTTTTCCACAAAGAGTTGGCTTCATACATATCTTCAAAACCAACTGGAGTATTTTGACCTGCTTTTTAGACCTCTCTTTTGCCAATAAGTAGGCTATTTAAAACAAATTTGTTTATGTACACATGGTACCTCTTTCTGAAGGCAATGAATATTTCTACAACCATACAGACCTAAGACAGAAATTATAGGTATCCTGTAAATCCCATTAACTAATGCATTAGCATTTATTATGGTAGCTACAAAATTGAAGTGCTTACGAAACAGCACAAAAGAAAAAAAAAAAAAGAAAAAAGATAGCACTCATATTTAAGACTTTTAAATTCAGCACAAATACTTACCGCATACTAAGATAATGTACAAATACGCATGAAAGCTCCTTGTATGGATAATCATATTGTCTTTCCACTGAAAATGTGTAAAAATTCATATAATATACACAGAAGTAGACTGCAGGACTAACCTCCCCAAACATTTAAATCTAACAAAAAGTTCTACTCATGTCACATAAGATAGTCCTTCATATTGCCATACTTAAGTCTAAAATTAAGCTTATTTACGAAGGAACAAAATATATCTAAATTTGTTTTGATTCTAACTAGTATGATTATGAAGTTGTTCAATTGTTTTTTTTCATGTTGTCACAACACAATAATTTCACATAATTTCTTCTTCATATTTAAAAGTTTATTACAAGCTTTAAACAGTCTTTCACAAAATTATGGGCACTGAGAATGCTTGTATATGTCAATATGAAAAACTGTTACTAGATGTGTACTGGGAATACACTGGTGTTCCACTACATGGTGCCACTGTACGGCCTTACGGTGTCTTGTGCTGTGCTCACACAAGTTGCTTGCTAGATGTAAAATGGAAAGCCACAGTTTTGTATAAAAGATTACTATGTCAGCTGAGCTTACCATTTTCAGCACTGTGATTGCAAGGTAAAAAAGCAGTACTTGAAGACAAACAAACAAACTAAAACACAGGGATTTTGTGTCTGGTATGGTTTTTCCCATATAGATAGAATGGCGGCTGCCTGGCATGGCATGTTTGTGGTCTATTTGGTGTGTCATGGCACAGTTTGTGGCATATTGGTATTTTTACCTTTATTTCCTTTCTCTGACTGCAGTTATACTCCCAGCCTGGAGGAGTGCTGTCACTATAACCAGAAGGGAAAAGGGATCTCTTCACAGAGAGATGACTGTTTTTATGGAACATTTGCACAGAAGATGGATATCCTAATTTTAAGGTGATAAAAAACAAGGCTATTTGCACTAAATACTATGGGGCTCAGCACCATAAAAATTCTGAAAATGGTTTGCAATATGTTACTATATATGTGTGTGTATGTATATATATATTATGTGTTACCTTGGATACAAGGCTTGCTCTGTAGGCAGCTAACTGCTTCAGATATTCCTTCTTGGCAGCTTCAGTTTTCTTTTTGTATACCTAAAAACAAAGAGTGTCACATTGGTAAATTAATCTGGTTTTGTTTTTATATATCACCGGTGTGTCTCATGCATCTTCATAAAGTCTTTCTAAGTAAACATCCTTTCCTGCTCATATACTCTAAAGAGTGAAATAATAAACATCAAATATTTTAATGAAAATATTGTTCCAAGTGTGAAACACCCTTTAGCTACTTAGCAGTACTGAAAAAAAACAATATCCCTCACAGCATCTCAGGTTTAATTGTTCAAAGTGAAGTGCAGGGCGCACTTGCAAATGGGACCTTTAGGGATACTGGAAGGCAGGTGTGAGCCTTTCCACTGGCTCCCACTTGTGAGATGAGTTAAAAGCCTCTGGGGAAGACAGGAATGTGCAGGAAGACATGTGAGCTAAATGAAGGAGGAGATGATGGCACCACACAGATCAGCCAAAAGGCTTTCTCTCTTCCCTGGATTAACTGTTGGGGGCACTCAGAGAAGCTTCATGGAACTGCTGAGGATAATAAATGTTAGTCATTATTCCAGTCTTGATCCCATATCGTTCTAATTAACTTCTCAGGAGCATAGATCTATTTCTGTACAGTTCTCTCAACCTACCAAATTATTTTAAATGCGGCATGTGCACAATCTCATAATAGATTAAAAAGCTTTGAGAGTCACTTCAATTTTGCCCAAATTTCAAGATCAAAGATTATCTACAGGGCTAGGCAGGACCTCATGGCACTACAGTAACACGATGTTATGAAAGTATACGTAGATATTTAGGGTTGAAAGTTCTCAAGAGGAGAAATGCTTCCTGACCTGTAGAGCCCAGATAATGACTTGCTGTTAGCAATGTCAGTGACAAATTCAGGAACAAGCCAGCATTTCTCTTTGCAAATATTATCATGATTTTTTCACTATTTCATGTATTTTTTTTTTCTGAGACAGTAGATTTTGGAATCATGCAAGCATCTTGGCCTCATATAACTAAGCAGGACTAATTGCTATCCTTCCATGCTGTACAGAAATGCTTAAAAAAATATCCAAATGTAAAGTTTAAAAGTAAGGAAGACAACTAAGGGGAAGGAAACTTTACTTTTAAATAACTGTTGTGTTTCACAATTTTTTTAAGTCACATGGGCATTTTTTAAGCCCAGGGCAGAGATTAGTTCATATTTTCATGGGCATTTGGTTTACACAACATTACACAAAATGGAACTGCATTTTTGAGTCTCTGCTGTCCACTTCTTCAGCCAAATGCACAACCTAGGCACCAGGTGTCCAGGCACCAGGTATTGTCCGCAGAGGACAATACAAAGTGACAGTGTTAAGCTGGAAGGATCGTGTAAAACATCATGTTTTTATAAAGAATGTGCTGATGAAATGTTTTTGTTTCACTGAGGCTTGGCTTTCAGGAACAATCCTCAAATACAGGCTGGCAAAACTCAGAGGCTGCCGAAAAGGATTAAAGATTTTGCTTCCCAGGGAAGCAAAAGATCATAATGGAAACACAGAAGTCTTAGGCTTCTAAAATTGTAAATATAGAGAGGAAAAAAATATTGGTGTTAGCTGTGCAACTGTATCTGTGCCACCTTGTAATTTATCCAGATTAAGATAAGTATATAGTGTTGGCTGATCTCCTATTGTTTTGGAAAACAAAAGCAAACAAACAAACAAAAAACTAGTAATTTTCTTTTTAAGTTGTAATCATTTGTGATTAATAGAGAAATGTACAGTTTGTTTTGAGAATTAATAAAAAATTAGTCAACAATCTGTTCCTAGATGCTAAAATGAATTTATCTTGACCTAGAGAACAAAGACTAAGTTATACAGCTTTGTATATTGTAGTGGCTCTGCATCTTTCTGATAGCCAATTTAAAAAACACAGTTGAACAAAGAATTTCACACAGAATAATGATCTTCAAAAGATCATGTATCTACTGCTTCCACATTGGATTTTATTTTGCATTACACAAATATCAAAAATATACACTCCTGCTGTGCACTTACAGTCACAGCATATTGAAAGCATCCTCTGGGACCTGACTTTTCCCTCAAATAGTCATATTGCATGAGGTTAACTTAATAATATGATGCTAACAACAATTCTGTAAATCGACAACTAAAACATCACAACTTCATAGGAATATCAGCATATAGCCTTTATATTATTTCCTGCCTACTTTCCTATATATCTACCATGTTCAGCATACATATTTTCTTGCCCTCTTTTCTCAGGTTTCCTGGTGAGTCAGTAATAATCAAATGAACACCATGTCTTCCACTGTAATACTAACACTAATTATGTAAAAGGTCATTACGGCACAGAAGTTCTTACTGGATGGGAAGAGAGGGTTTTTACAACTCTAACCCTCTTTGATGGCTTGCATTGGCCAGAATGCTTACTGCAGGCTAGTTTGCCAGAGGGCAGTCAACTTGCCCTGCTCCATCACTGTAAGGGTATCACCATGTCCTCTGAGGACAATGACTCAAGCTTTTGCTGTCAATATCTTGATACTGTTGTCTTTTTGAAGACACTCACTGTTTACACAAAATACAAGTGGGTAGATGCTCCTTGCATTAGTTTTAGAAAGTCTGATTTGTTGTGGCTTATTATAAAAATTAGAGTAAGTTTTGCCTGCCTGGGCGTTGTTCATTTTCATGAGTCTGGCTGTCAGTACTTTTCTCCACAAATTAATGTTGGCCCTGGCAGTGGTACCAGTTCACTGAATTGTGCTAGACTGGACTTGTACTGGGAGCTTATGAAGGCAGGGCAAGTGGGGAGTGTCCTCTGCATCTGCAGAAGTACCTAAAACAGGTATGAGCAAGTTAGCTGCCCCTCCCAACCTTTTTTTTTTTTCTTTCTTTTCCAGCTGTGAGAATTTTTAGCCCTCAAGCTTAAATAGTTTTGTGTTGTAGTAAGGTTAACAGAGTTTCATCCTTGCAGCGCTTAGCGGGAGGAAAAAGGCTCGTGTCATCATTCAAATGTGCTCCAGAAAATGACTGAAGCTTTGTTGTATTTTGTACTTAAGATAGTGCCAAATTCTGAAACACATAATTTCCAATAATACATTTATCACTTTTCCTGTATCAAGAAGCAAGTCTCTGTTCTTTTGCTTATCTATAGTATATAGTGACAACATTTAATTTCATTTTTAACATCCCAGAAATCTCTTATGAGGTCATTTTCTTCTCCTCCTTCAAGCAAGCAAAAATTATTACAAAAGTAACTTGACAGGAGCATATATGTACAGAATTAGGTAATTTCTATCTTGCTTTACTTCAATTAACATTATAATTTAATATTGACTGTCATTCAGGAAGTAAAGGCCCATTCTTATTATAAAACTTTTTTTTTTTCTTATACAATATTTTATTTTTTGAATTGTCCCAGTTGTGGAAATGGCAGGAAAAAAACATACATATTTTCTGTATATGCAGGGTGGTCAGCTTAATTTATTCTTATTCTCTTCAGCTTGTTATAGAAACCCCAAAACACCACGATTACATTAATTTGTCTACAAATGGAAGCTGCTGGCATTATTTTCCTACTGTGAATCATGAATGCAAATTTATACAGCATAATACACAGGTTCTTAGTTTACTATTTAATTACATTTCCCAAGTGTACTCAGCAAGGTAGCTTCAAGTCCCCTTACACAGTTAAGCAAAGCAATATAGAAAAAGGTATTTTCTGAAAGAAGTATGAAATACTACCTTGTGTGTATAAGCACAGAAGATAGCAAATAAAATGAATTAGGCCACCTTGGAAAATGGATGCTCTGGGTTCTCCAGTGGTAGCATAACAGCCTGGTACCAGTTCCCAGACCATTGCAGTGGCACCCTTAAGCTCCAGTTCCCTGGGCTAACCATACATGTGGACCACAAATGCTGCACCTACACTGGAGGCTGAATTATTTTTATTTTTAGTGATAAACATCCTTAAAGTGGCTGCCCCAATTTTCACTTGGAGATAGATGGGTTGTGGGTTATATGGTTAGCCACAAGTACTCACAAATACTAGATTTACCAAATTAAAACCACAGTAGAACATCTGCACTTCTTTCTATGATGCCAACTTCTGGCCATGTTTGCTTTATGTATTTTAACTGTTGTATAATTCTTGTCTTCCTAGATCATAAATTCCTTTAGGCAGGCTTTGTGTCTCCTGTGCTTTTCTCTGTGTTGGATGATATGAAACTCATCACTGATATATATAACTGAAATATACCTGTAATGCCTTTAGCCAAGTTTTTGTTCTGGATAGTCATCCTTTCCTGATGAACTTCCTTTGAACTTGCTTGTGGAGGACTATCAACATATCAACACATTATGCAGCAGGACTCCTACTCTATCCAGTGTGGCTTGCACCCTTCAGGGAAACAGGACTCAAATGTCTGCAACCATGTCCAAATAACAGGCTCTAATGGAAGAAGGAACCATTAACTACAATCCTCTTTGATATTAGGGAGTTGGAGATAGTGAGCTAAACTGACTGATATTCTTGGGAGAAAAGGAGACTTTCAGAATTTGTGCCTCATGGTAGTCTGGAAAAGCTTTGTGTCTCCTAGCTGACAGAGCACATTACAAAGAACCATATTGTTTCCCTGGCCTTGCCTAAATAGCTGGTAGGAGGATGACAAAGAAGGGGAAGTTTTCGGTTTATCTTTGTCTCCTTAGAGGTGACACTTCCAAGCAAGTTAAATTTGTCTTTTTAAAGTGATGTAAAGGTGCCCACATTTGTTTTGATGGAAGTGTTCCATAAACCTGAAAAAACAGTATATGCAAAAACAGCAAATCAAAAAGCAACATGACCAATTTTGACTTTTTGGTCTCTGCAGTGCTATTACCCATGGGAGTATCATTTTCACAGGCTACAGTTACAGGAATGTCATCTGATAAAATATGGCAGGCTGCAATCCAGACTTAAATTCCACATTCAGATTGTCGTTCCTGGCTCTGCATACCTATGGTCATAGAGAAAACTTCTATTTTTTCCAAGTGGGAGACATATCTCTA